AGACCTACAATAACAAACCCAAAACAATTAAGAAAATGGTAACAGGAACATACATATCGATAATTACCTTAAATGTGAATGGATTAAATGCTCCAACCAAAAGATACAGACTGGCGGAATGGATACAAAAACAAGACCCATATATATGCTGTCTACAAGAGATCCACTTCAGACCTAGGGACACATACAGACTGAAAGTGAGGGGATGGAAAAAGATATTCCATGCAAATGGAAATCAAAAGAAAGATGGAATAGCAATTCTCATATCAGACAAAACAGACTTTAAAACAAAGACTATTACAAGAGACAAAGAAGGACACTACATAATGATCAAGGGATCAATCCAAGAAGAAGACAGAACAATTGTAAATATTTATGCACCCAACATAGGAACACCTCAATACATAAGGCAAATACTAACAGCCATAAAAGGGGAAATTGACAGTAACACAATCATTGTAGGGGACTTTAACATGCCACTTTCACCAATGGACAGATCACCCAAAATGAAAATAAATAAGGAAACACAGCTTTAAATGATACATTAAACAACATGGACTTAATTGATATTTATAGGACATTCCATCCAAAAACAACAGAATACACTTTTTTCTCAAGTGCTCATGGAACATTCTCTAGGATAGATCATATCTTGGGTCACAAATCAAGCCTTGGTAAATTTAAGAAAATTGAAATCGTATCAAGTATCTTTTCTGACCATGCTATGAGACTAGATATCAATTACAGGAAAAAATCTGTAAACAATACAAACACATGGAGGCTAAACAATACACTACTTAATAACCAAGAGATCACTGAAGAAATCAAAGAAGAATCAAAAAATACCTAGAAACAAATGAAAATGAAAACACGACAACCCAAAACCTATGGGATGCAGCAAAAGAACTTCTAAGAGGGAAGTTTATAGCAATACAATCCTACCTTAAGAAACAAGAAACACCTCAAATAAACAACCTAACCTTACAGCTAAAGCAATTAGAGAAAGAAGAACAAAAAACCCCAAAGTTAGCAGAAGAAAAGAAATCATAAAGATCAGATCAGAAATAAATAAAAAAGAAACGAAGGGAACGATAGCAAAGATCAATAAAACTAAAAGCTGGTTCTTTGAGAAGATAAACAAAATTGATAAACCATTAGCCACACTCATCAAGAAAAAAAGGGAGAAGACTCAAATTAATAGAATTAGAAATGAAAAAGGAGAAGTAACAACTGACACTGCAGAAGTACAAAGGATCATGAGAGATTACTACAAGCAACTATATGCCAATAAAATGGACAACCTGGAAGAAATGGACAAATTCTTAGAAATGCACAACCTTCCCAGACTGAACCAGGAATAAATAGAAAATATGCACAGACCAATCACAAGCACTGAAACTGAAACTGTGATTAAAAATCTTCCAACAAACAAAGGCCCAGGACCAGATGGCTTCACAGGCGAATTTTATCGAACACTTAGAGAAGAGCTAACACCTATCCTTCTCAAACTCTTCCAAAATATAGCAGAGGGAGGAACACTCCCAAACTCATTCTACGAGGCCACCATCACCCTGATACCAAAACCAGACAAAGATGTCACAAAAAAAGAAAACTACAGGCCAATATCACTGATGAACACAGATGCAAAAATCCTCAACAAAATACTAGCAAACAGAATCCAACAGCACATTAAAAGGATCATACACCATGATCAAGTGGGGTTTATCCCAGGAATGCAAGGATTCTTCAGTATACGCAAATCAATCAATGTGATACACCATATTAACAAATTGAAGGAGAAAAACCATATGATCATCTCAATCAACGCAGAGAAAGCTTTCGACAAAATTCAACGACTTATGATAAAAACCCTGCAGAAAATAGGCATAGAGGGAACTTTCCTCAACATAACAAAAGCCATATATGAGAAACCCACAGCCAACATCGTCCTCAATGGTGAAAAACTGAAACCATTTCCACTAAGATCAGGAACAAGACAACATTGCCCACTCTCACCACTATTATTCAACATAGTTTTGGAAGTTTTAGCCACAGCAATCAGAGAAGAAAAAGGAATCCAAATAGGAAAAGAAGAAGTAAAGCTGTCACTGTTTGCAGATGACATGATACTATACATAGAGAATCCTAAAGATGCTACCAGAAAACTACTAGAGCTAATCAATGAATTTGGTAAAGTTGCAGGATACAAAATTAATGCACAGAAATCTCTTGCATTCCTATACACTGATGATGAAAAATCTGAAAGTGAAATTAAGAAAACATCCCCATTTACTACTGAAACAAAAAGAATAAAATACCTAGGAATAAACCTACCTAAGGAGACAAAAGACATGTATGCAGAAAATTATAAGACACTTCTGAAAGAAATTAAAGGTGATACAAACAGATGGAGAGATATACCATGTTCTTGGATTGGAGGAATCAACACTGTGAAAATGACTCTACTACCCAAAGCAATCTACAGATTGAATGCAATCCCTATCAAACTACCACTGGCATTTTTCACAGAACTAGAACAAAAAATTTCACAATTTGTATGGAAACACAAAAGACCCCAAAGAGCCAAAGCAATCTTGAGAGAAAAAACAGAGCTGGAGGAATCAGGCCCCTGGACATCAGACTATACTACAAAGCTACAGTAATCAAGACAGTGTGGTACTGGCACAAAAACAGAAATATAGATCAATGGAACAGGATAGAAAGCCCAGAGATAAACCCACGCACATATGGTCACCTTATCTTTGATAAAGGAGGCAAGAATATACAATGGAGAAAAGACAGCCTCTTCAATAAGTGGTGCTGGGAAAACTGGACAGCTACATGTAAAACAGTGAAATTAGAACAGTCCCTAACACCATACACAAAAATAAACTCAAAATGGATTAAAGACCTAAATGTAAGGCCAGACACTATCAAACTCTTAGAGGAAAACATAGGCAGAACACTCTATGACATAAGTCACAGCAAGATCCGTTTTGACCCAGCTCCTAGAGAAATGGAAATAAAAACAAAAATAAACAAATGGGACTTAATGAAATTTAAAAGCTTTTTCACAGCAAAGGAAACCATAAGCAAGATGAAAAGACAACCCTCAGAATGGGAGAGAATATTTGCAAATGAAGCAACTGACAAAGGATTAATCTCCAAAATTTACAAGCAGCTCATGCAGCTCAATATCAAAACAACAAACACCCCAATCCAAAAATGGACAGAAGACCTAAACAGACATTTCTCCAAAGAAGATATACAGATTGCCAACAAACACATGAAAGGATGCCCAACATCATTAATCATTAGAGAAATGCAAATCAAAACTACAATGCGATATCATCTCATACTAGTCAGAATGGCCATCATCAAAAAATCTACAAGCAATAAATGCTGTAGAGGGTGTGGAGTAAAGGGAACCCTCATACACTGTTGGTAGGAATGTAAATTGATACAGCCACTATGGAGAACAGTATGGAGGTTCCTTAAAAAACTAAAAATAGAACTACCATATGACCCAGCAATCCCACTACTGGGCATATACCCTGAGAAAACCATAATTCAAAAAGAGTCACGGGGGCTTCCCTGGTGGCGCAGTGGTTGAGAGTCCGCCTGCCAATGCAGGGGACACAGGTTCGTGCCCCGGTCCAGGAAGATCCCACATGCCGCGGAGCGGCTGGGCCCGTGAGCCATGGCCGCTGAGCCTCTGTGTCCGGAGCCTGTGCTCTGCAACAGGAGAGGCCACAACAGAGAGAGGCCCGTGTACAGCAAAAAAAAAAAAAAAAAAGAGTCATGTACCACAATGTTCATTGCAGCTATATTTATAATAGCCAGGACATGGAAGAAACCTAAGTGTCCATCGACAGATGAGTGGATAAAGAAGCTGTGGCACATATATATAATGGAATATTACTCAGCCATAAAAAGAAACAAAATTTAGTTATTTGTAGTGAGGTGGATGGACCTAGAGTCTGTCATACAGAGTAAAGTAAGTCAGAAAGAGAAAAACAAATACCGTATGCTAACACATATATATGGAATCTAAAAAAAAAAAAAGGTCATGAAGAACCTAGGGGCAAGGTGGGAATAAAGATGCAGACCAACTAGAGAATGGACTTGAGGACACGGGGACGGGGAAGGGTAAGCTGGGACAACGTGAGAAAGTGGTAGTATATATATGGACATATATACACTACCAAATGTAAAATAGATAGCTAGTGGGAAGCAGTCGCATAGCACAGGGAGATCAGCTCGGTGCTTTGTGACCAGCTAGAAGGATGGGATAGGGAGGGTGGGAGGGAGGGAGGGAGACGCAAGAGGGAAGAGATATGGGGACATATGTATAACTGATTCACTTTGTTATAAAGCAGAAACTAACACACTATTGTAAAGCAATTATACTCCAATAAAAATGTTTAAAAAAATAATGGAAAGGTGTTGACAACATACTGAATCACTTACTGTACCTAAAAGTTAAAACATTAGAAAAATGTTTATGCAACTGTCTATGCAAACAAACAAACAGAAACCTGAAGGCCTAAAAGCCACTGATCTCAAACAGAAGGGCAACATGGATAAATAATCATATTTAGATTTCTAAATGATGATTTCTGTGGAAAAGCAATAGTATGTTATATTGCAAAATGTCAAATTATGTGCCCCTGCCTAAAAAGCTTTTCAGCAGTTGAAGACCTGGATCTAATACAAGAACATGAAGTCATAAGGGGCACGGGTGCACTCAGCTGTAATAAATCAGGTTTAGCACAAGCAAAAAGAAATATTGTTAAGCAGGTGCGTACTGGGAGGAAATGGTAGAAGCTGAAGTTTAAGGTGGACAAAGGGGAAGGAAGTTTGAAGAGTGAAAGTAGGAATAACCAAGAAAGCATGAGAGTAAGGAGTCTTAATTCTCTTATTTATACTTAGGCTTCTCATTGTGGATGGCCTCTTTCTCAATTATTAAATACAGTGTTAACTATATTAAACTCTTCTACCTGTTTCCGTGCTGAGAATTTGATTTTGAAGAAGCAGGCAACTCTTGGAAATCACTGAATGAATCATCAAGGGATCCTGACTTGGAAGCATCTTGAAAATCCTGGAAGTCATCTTCTTCTGGTTTGACAACCTAGGTTTACAGAGGACGTTGAAATAGAAAACGTCTTATGATAAAAAGGTAAAGAACAAATCTTCAACTGTCAACCTCAAAGACTACTTTTTTTTTTTTCAAAAACTACTTTTTAACTCTTCCTATTTAAGTACAAACACCTAATTTTAGAAGAACACCCTTTAGACAAAAACATCAACTCAAGTGCTTAAGGCAGGAATGCTGCCTAATGTTTTAAAATGCTCTCTCGTACAAACGGTAGAAGACTGGTTTAAACAGTTAATTTATATAATTTTTAAATAGCTGAATCACATTTAATGGATTACTGAGAAACTGCCATCTTTATAAAACATTTTAATCATGTCTGTAAATTACAGAAGTGATACAAGTTTGTTTTAACTCATCACATACATGTATAAAGGAAACCGTGAAAACGGACTCCTAATCCCATGCTTAGGAAGTGAGCACTGTTAACAGTTCATTTGTTTTATAGAAAAACGAGCTTATATTATATTGTTCTGCACTTTAAAAAATATGTAATTACAGAACATGGACATATTTTCATGCAGTACATGTACATCTACCGGCATTCATTTTAATAATCTAATAGTTTACCACTGTAGAGATAAACCGAAATTTATTTAACCTTTCTTCTTCTGATGGATATGCAGCTATTCCTAATTTTTTACTCTAACAAACAATGCTACAACAAATATCCTTGTATATTTTTGCTAATTTGAGTTACTAAGTTCTGTGAGACTCCTAATCGAGTGACTGCTGGGTCAGAAGACATGAACATTTAGAATTTTGATAGCTATTGCCAAACATGCCTTCCAAAAAGGCTGTACCAAAAAACCCTTTTCCCTACATTTTTACTGACACTGAATATACGTTTAAAACGTTTTTTGCTAATCTAAGAAGTGAAAAATAAACTGAAGCATCTTAATTTCAGGTTTAGCAGCTTCCTCAAAAAACATAGCCTAAGGATATAATTAGCTTTATTAAGCCTGATGTTTAAGACATATATGATAAAGAACTATAAACTTTTAGCCAAAATTCAAGTATCTTAAGGCTTAAGAAATTTTTTTTTAAATAATGAAAAATTAAATGTTGTATTGTTTTAATACTGCTTAATTTTCACCTCCAGTGTCCATCATAATCCAGCACCTTTTCTGCATTCATGGAAAAAAAAAAAGTTGCCTGGATTCATTTTCCAGGGATAACTCAGAATATGCACAGCCTCTCCATTTTGCATAGCCTCTCCATTTACCTGATTTGCAGGGTAAGTTGACATGAAGCCACTGGGAGTCTGGGCTGCAGCTCCCCCGACTGGTCCAACAAGATTAATGCCCATGACTGGCTGTCCGAGGGTGAGGGGCATGGAGCCTGCAGGGCCTGAAGGCATCCCAGTTGGCTGACTCACAGCAGTAGGCAAAGTCATAGGAAAGCCACTTAAAGTTGGAACAGGAGCCGCTGGAAACTGATTTAAAGCATCGGGACTCATGGCAGGAACACCCCTCTACATAGAACAGGAGGAAAATGGAAACACTTGAGGAAATTGCAAACCACATACAACCCAAATCTGGCAAAGAGAGACTTAACTGTAAAATCTGTAGCCCTGGTATGTTTCCACTCTGACTCTCCCAAAACTCAGGAATTTGACACAAGAAAGTAAGTTATGAGGTTAATGTGAATCTAATATTTAGCAAAGAAATGGCCAACACATACCAATTCTGACATTTTCACTCTGACAAGTCTGGTTAATTCGCTACAATCAAATCGTTTACAATGATTTTGTAATATGAGAAAAACTGCTGCCAGACCGAGCATACTTTATCTGTATCTAAGGAGTTTTAGACAAGGACCTCAAAGGACAGAGAGTCATCTCATCTATTACTAACTTTCAAGTTCAGAAGGGTTACACTTAGGTCAGAGAATGTTAATATATTCAAGTCTTTAAACAAAGGAATATTTTGCTAGTATGCACATCATATAAAATGTACATTTTTGAAGAACTGTATCCTGAAAATAATCTAAATTTTAATGTCCAAGGAGTTCTGCAAGGTTGTAGAAAAAAAGGATTCATATTCTCTCAGTTTATATTGGAAAGTAATTTGACCTAACCTTAGAAACAATGTCTACCTGTGTTACTGCTATCATGGCGAGAACAGTATAAAGTTCTTCTTTAGTAAGTCTGCCAGGTGTGGTTCGATTAGCTAAGGCCCATATCTGTCCAAGAGTTTCCCTGGGAAGTCCGGATGACATCAGGATGGGATAAAGTTTAGCAGTATCTATTCCAGTCGGAGTCATTGTGGTTTCTAAAATTTTCTTATATGCATCTATTAAAGGAAAGACCAGATTACAAATGTAAACATATTACAAGTGATTCATCTTTTTTGTTGTCATTGCTGCTTATACAAGAATAAACTTAAGTCAAACTGCTTTAAGAGAACTGAAGCCACATCAAGGGTTTAAACTGCTGTAAAGATATTCAAGTGGAAATATCCAGCAGACAATTAGGGTCTGGAGCTTAGAAGAGAGGTTGGAGTTTGGCCTTACAGACAAAGATTTGGGGTTAAAGGTAAGAGAAAGTCTTATAATTCATTAGTAGATAGGAACAACAATAAGATGGAGGTGGTATAAGCAGATGTTTTGGACTTTAAAAAAGAAGTTGTAGAGTAATGATGGTGGGACTAATTTGAAAATAGCAGTGGGAAGCAAGAATTATACCAATATCACCTTTCTCTTGTCCCAGTGAATTAGAGGCTATTAGAGGAAACATCATTGGGTAAGGTGCTTTGGGAACACAGCCTTCAGAGAAAGACAGGGTTTCAGTTAGATGGCGGAAAGTGTTTGAAAAAAGGAAGGGACCGTTGGGGAGTTTTTCACTATGAAATGGCCTTTCCAAAGGACAAAGTGGGAAAGGCTGTTAGGGATAGGGTTGCCACATAAAATACAGGACGCCAATTATTGCATGGGGTATACTTATACTAAACAACTATTTGCTGTTTCTCTGAAATTCAAATTTAACTGGATGTTCTGTATGCTTATTTGCTAAATCTGGCAAGCCTAGTTAGAGGAGTTTGGGGGATGAAAGTAGGGCTAAGGCAGACAGAGAAAAACGCTTAAAGCAAAAATTTTACATCTAGCATTTAGATATGGATTACAGGTTAGTAGGCTGACCATAAGAACACGTATTTTGGCTAGGAAATTATGTGTACCGTGTATGTTTGGAGGGAGAAGGGAGAAAGAAATACAAGCTGGCAGAAAAGGGACAGAATCCCAATATATACCAAGATCTAGATTTTGTTTGTTTGGCTTGCAGACAGAGAGGAAGAAGAAAAGATGCAATCTGTCTAACGGGCAGTTGGGAGGAAATCAATTATCTTTATGTACAACTGAAGTCCCCTGTGGTTTTGGGAAATGAGCCTTTCAATTTGTGATTATGTGATTCTGAGGAAAAGCAGACATTACTAATTTCTTCCCCCAAAAAGTTGAGCTACAGGGATCTTGCATGAGTTTTATTTAAATTAAGTGCAGAACCAATCTAGATCAAGTCTATGACCAACAAAGAGAGCTAAAGATCAAAGTTACCTTTAGTTTTTAAGGGGTTTGCAAAGCAAATTGAACAAGTTGCAATATACTGTGATTAACATAATGCCATTGTAATAGTCATTATTCTATGCACATCAAATATGGCTTAAATACGCTATTCCCTTGTACCAATTGAATACTACATCACAAAACGTGTACTTCAGTGATTTTTTAGCTCAGTAGTTAATAACATACATAAAGAAAAAAGTAAACAACATCTTCCAATGTAGGAAAAGATGCCACTTGGTCTTTTACTTCATATAGTTTTATACTGACAAAGTCAAAGAATATTTTTTAAATATATAAACGAATCACCAAGGGTTCAGAAAATTTTACTAAACATATTAGTACTATTCTTGATGTTATTAATAATCTGTGAAATAAATATTTGATAGTGTCTTTTAAAGCATAATAAATCTAAGAAAAGCTTTTAGATATAAAAGTATATGATGGTCAATAAAACATTAAAGCAAAACACTTCTTCATTTATATAGTTATTTCATACGTGAGACAGTCTTTTTTTTTTTAATATTTATTTATTTATTTATTTGGCTGTGCCGTGTCTTAGTTGCTGCATGTGGGATCTTTTTTTTTTAGCTGCAGCTTGTGAGATCTAGTTCCCTGACCAGGGATCGAACCCTGGCCCCCTACACTGAAAGCATGGAGTCTTAACCACTGGACCATGAGAGAAGTCCTTATGAGGCAGTCTTCAACACTAGATGTATTTAATTTTCTGTACTCTTTTAGAAAAAATAAGAAAAAGTTACAATTCCTTCTGCATATTCTGTAACCACAATAGTAAATATTTATAACTACATTTACAACATTTAAAGTAAAGTATCCAGATAGGAATCTTGGACAAAAAAGCTCTTTTTACCTGGAACCAAACTTTCATTGTATATCCAAGGAGGCATTCTGGGCTGAACAGGATCCTGTGAGGGAAATACTCCCACACCTAAGAAGTTAAAGAACATTATCTAATGTATATACTGGTCCATGTAGCAGATGGGGAAATCACACTGTGTCATGTTTTTTTTTATAAGAAGAGCACTGGAGACACTAAAAAAAAAAAAAAGTCACCAATACAACTAAAATTTGGTTTCTAAGCAACTCTTGTACACCTATGTCCTAAGGTGTAAACTAAAAATAAACAAACAAAAAAATACCCCTAAGATGTACAAAATCAATATTCTGGATCATATGAGGCTTGATGCCAGTCACATATATTACAATTTAAAGACAAAACATGAGAGATGATGGTTTTAAAGATTACATACGCAAAACAAAAGAAAAAATGCCCAAGCTTCACTTGCAGCTTTTAATAACACTTCTTTGCAAAGTCTGATTTTTTAAAATCCTGAATATGACACTGCTGCCTTAGATGTATAGCATTTTTGTTTAAAATTTTTGTTTTTCACTTTGTCCTGTAAAATAGCCTCCAAAAGTTTGCCTCCTGGGCTGCCCACATTGTAATTCATCTCTGCAAGTTGAGTTTACAAAAATGTGGATCTAATTTAGGCAGCAGTGTGTACGATTAATTTCAGAGAAGCAAAACTATATTCTCATTGGTGACTTTTCCAGTTAAATTTTAACTTTTCAACCTTATAGAAGAACAGAAAGTTTGAGGGGGAAAAAGTTTTTTATAAAATAAAAGGAGAAGAAGTTTTAAATCAGAAATGATTCCGATTAAAAAAACTGGTTATCGAAATTTTTTTAAAAGGAATAACAGCGTGTTTAAAGAATTCAGAGCAAAATTGTAGGGGTTAATTAGAGAAAGGAATGCATTAAATATATTTTAAGCAAAATTTTGATTAGCAAAATCAAGCAGCATTCATTTTAAGATTAATGCCTAAGGTGTTAGCATTTGAGCAACATTTGGTTAAATGAGCTTTTCGCTGAATATTTCATGAGCTCACCACTCTCCTCAATGGACAGGTTTTGGTCTGAAGTCTTTTCTGCCTCTGCGGTAGTGGTACCACTTACACGTCCATCTACAGCACCCCCGTTATTGGCCGTTAAACTGGGATGGTTCTTACTGGAACCTGGGCCTAGGGCTTTGTGCCCAACTTCAGAAGTATTTAATTTAATTTGTTCCTGCCCCGATGTACTTATATCACAAGATACTAGGAGCTTCTCCTCCAAGGAAGGGCCTAAACAAACAGCATGAAGGATTATTTGTATATAACTGCAAGCTTCTAATTTTTCAACCATCCATCTCCACCCCCCAAATTCTAAAGGGAAGGCCCTGCCACATATAATATAAATTTTGAAACAATTCAAGTCCACACATTTGTCTAGGGCTTGAGACACTTTAGCGATTTTAGAGAACTTAAACATCATTATCTACTTTGATTCTCAGGAATTCTGTGAGACAGTAGGTAGAATGGTATAGTGGAAGGTGTACTACCTTAGAAATTTGGTGACCTATACAAGATACAGACACTTCTACTAACTATCGCCTATTTCTTCATCTGTCAACCGAGAACGTGTAGATGAGTACATGTCTGCTAAGATTCCTCTCAGCACTATTCTGTGCCTCAAGACACAGTAACTGCCTCCCGCCCCCACAAGTGATAAAACTGAGGTATAGAAATGTTTAAAGATTTGTCCAGGGACAAACTGGTAGTAAATGGAGAACCTGGGCTTCTGACCCCAACGTGCTTTATCACTGAAAGCACTTTCTAAAGCTGCTTTCCCTGGCTCATTACTCTTAAGAAAATGATGGTGGTGATTTCCCCAAACAAGAGGCATCTCCTGAAGAACTCAGTGTGTTCTTAAAGTTCTAAGGTGGTTTAAATAGGTCCTAATTTAGGAGCAGATGTTTCCAATCACTTTTCCAGAATGTGAAGCCCCCAGAATTAAAAAATCTATATTCTTAACTTTGGTGAATTTCAACAGTACTCATATATTCAGGCACATGTTTCTGTGCCAACATCACTGTATTATTCTACTTATATAAGTGAAATAAATTATCCTAGATTATTTAAAAAATACTTTCATTAATCGTCTAGTAGTTACCTGCTTTCTGCACATTGTATGAGGCTGAAGCAGTAGAGAAATAAGGAATTTGCCCAGGGACACCATGTAAGGCAACAGACACTGGACTCTGACCTGGAGGGATATACTGTGCTCCAGCCTTCTGAGCATGCAACTGGCCAAGTGGGGTGGTGGGGCGGAAAGACTGAAAAGGCTGGGAAGTGGAAGAAGGCCCACAAGTGGGAGCTTCACCAGGCCCCTGCATAAAGTCACTGAATTCTTCTTCATCAAGAAAGGCGGGTGATGGGGAGACAGTTTTAGCAGAATGAAATGATGTGGGATAATCTGCAAAATGGAAAACGGCAATGAAACACACACAGAAATGAAAATCACAGGGGAAAAGAAATTAAGATGTAGTACAACTCCAAAAGAATATAATGAAACATGAATAGTGGAGGTGAATAAGAAATAACATGTAACAACAAACAGAATCATACAATGAATGCAAAACACTTTGATGTCTATTTACAAACAATTTTTTAGTCTTTTTTTTTTTTTTTTTTTTTTTTTTGTACGCGGGCCTCTCACTGCTGTGGCCTCTCCCGTTGCGGAACACAGGCTCCGGATGCGCAGGCTCAGTGGCCATGGCTCACGGGCCCAGCCACTCCACGGCGTGTGGGATCTTCCCGGACCGGGGCACGAACCCGTGTCCCCTGCATCGGCGGGCGGACTCTCAACACTGCGCCACCAGGGAAGCCCTAGTCTTTTTTTTTTAACATCTTTATTGGAGTATAATTGCTTTACAATGGTGTGTTACGTTTCTGTTGTGTATAACAGTGAATCAGCTATATGCATACATATATTCCCATATCCCCTCCCTCTTGCGCCTCCCTATCCCACCCTCTAGGTGGTCACAAAGCACCGAGCTGATCTCCCTGTGCTATGCGGCTGCTTCCCACTAGCTATCTATTTTACATTTGGTAGTGTATATATGTCAATGCTACTCTCTCATTTCGTCCCAGCTTACCCTTTCCCCTCCCCGTGTCCTCAAGTCCATTCTCTACATCTGCGTCTTTATTCCCATCCTGCCCCTAGGTTCAGCAGAACCATTTTTTTTTCAGATTCCATGTATATGTGCTAGCATACAGTATTTGCTTTTCTGACTTACTTCACTCTGTATGACAGACTCTGGGTCCATCCACCTCACTACAAATAACTCAATTTCATTTTTAGTCTTTTTTAAAAAGAGGTTTTACAGCTATTTTGCATTTCGTTCAAAAACAGAAAAATGTAAAACTCAAAATTTCTTTCCTTCTTTTATTAAGTTAGCACTTATTTTTTTTCCTTGAGACCACTAATAATTTACATCAAAGTGGTGATTATTTTTGAAATCCAATTGATCTGTTTATCTGGATAATATTTTCTCAAACCAGTATAAATAAGAGAACCAACCTATATGTTGCTGAATACATTTTAGACAGATATATACTGATGATTAAATTTCATTATGCCAGTAAAAAACAATGCATGACGCATACTTGTAATTTTTGATAAATCATGCCTAATCCATACACTTAACATAGTTCATATTTCATATGAGGATGAAACTTACTGTGTGGGGAATAAAAATTACAAAGGCAACAAGAACATCAAACATATTACCAAAGTGATATTTTCTTGTGCAAAGCATCAAAATTAGGACATCATAAAGTGCTAAGTCAAATAACTCAACAGCCAATTTAAGAAAGTAAACCCTAACAGCTATGTTTAAAAGATCTTTGCCTCTAAAAGATATAAACATCACTGTGGCTTTTTACTGTTAAATATGAGATTCACTTATGTAATAAACCTTCTCTACAGGGATTATGTTTAATACTATGCTCATTAACAATACTATTATTGTTGCTTCTTCACATTTTTAACTTCTTTGTATTGCTTTAACATTTACTAAAGTCTAATGTCACAAGGAGCAGTCTTTTTTAAAAAAGGCTCTCATTTGAAAAATGGGGACACTATATGCTTCTCTTTTGGACCTTTCTCTTTTGGATCCATGAAATAAAGCCTGTAAGCATTAAAGTTCTATGAAAGATGCAAAATGAATATGCAAAATTACTGCCTTAATGAATTTTGTTTAAAAAAAGCCATGTCATAATGAATCTCAACCCTCCCAATAATGGTTACTGAGAGTGTGTATTTAAGCTCTCAATTTGGGCTCTCAGATCAGTACTGGTAGAAAATAGTAACAATGCAAAACTGACAGCTACTAGGGATATACTAGCTGACTGTTTAGGCTAAACCAACTTCTTTTCTTTTCTTTCTTTTTTTTAGGCTAAAAATTTCTTTCCATTTGACTGGAATTATGTTAATTCTATGTGGTATATATTTTGGCTTAGAAACTCTTGTAGCTATATATATATATATATAATAAGAAGTGTAAAAATTATGTGGTACAGTTTGTATATTCAATATTTTAAGGTAAACAGTCTATGGGCGTTTATACCTCTGGTGGTAAAAAGGCTGGAAACTTTTTACATACTTTAGGCCTAGGTTTAAGACCCTAGCTGGAGAAGCTCTGGAAATTCCTTGGGCTTGCTTCAAAAAACTATTTTTCTAGCGAAGCATGAAGCAGTTAACTAGAAACAGCTAACTGCACGCATGTTGATTGAACTCAAGAGATTACTTGAACATCAAAACACCAATTTATTACTTAACAATGAAGTTTTTAAACCATATCCAGTTGTCCAAAGGGGCCATTCTATATGGATAGAAAAGTATGTGACCTAACAATGACCATTCCTCTCTGCCGCCTTCTCCTTTATCTAATTAGGTTCCATGCTGGGTCCAGTTTTACCATTCCAACGACTATACTTAAATGACTTACTGACTAGCTTATTCAGCTTATAATTTTCATTTTTAGGTATGTTTTTCCTTTCTGAACTCATTCTGATTGCTAATATCCATTCCCTTTTCAATATCAGTATATATTTTACTTTGGGGCATATGTTTGTAACGATAATCTGAGTATATAATCTAGCAAGTGAAATTAATAGCACAGAGGCAAAGCTGTCCCAGAAAGTCAGGAACTCGTTACTGTGCCAATATTAGATTATGCCCTCCTGATATCACCTATAAAAGGTACCTATAAAAACTGTCAATGTAATACATGCCTGCAGAAAATAGCACTTGCTGAATGATTTATGAAAACTATTCACGTATTAATGGTATGTTATTCTTGAAATTAGCTGAGAATAAAATGTCAAAATATCAAATTTAAAAAAAGGATGTGGTAACAGTTATGTGAAGATAAGACTCATTTCAACTGCTAAATGTTTAAAACACATGCAAAAAAACCCCCCAAAATATCTCTTTACCCTGCTCTATTAGGTACTTTTCTTTTGCTTATTTGATGGTAAATGAAAATAAAAACTACAAAGGAATGTATTTTAAAAAATAAAATGATGGTAAATGAAAATAAAAACTACAAAGGAATGTATTTTAAAAAATTTTTTTTTTTTTTTTTTTTGTGGTACGCGGGCCTCTCACTGCTGTGGCCTCTCCCGTTGCGGAACACAGGCTCCGGATGCGCAGGCTCAGTGGCCATGGCTCACGGGCCCAGCCACTCCACGGCGTGTGGGATCTTCCCGGACCGGGGCACGAACCCGTGTCCCCTGCATCGGCGGGCGGACTCTCAACACTGCGCCACCAGGGAAGCCCTAGTCTTTTTTTTTTAACATCTTTATTGGAGTATAATTGCTTTACAATGGTGTGTTACGTTTCTGTTGTGTATAACAGTGAATCAGCTATATGCATACATATATTCCCATATCCCCTCCCTCTTGCGCCTCCCTATCCCACCCTCTAGGTGGTCACAAAGCACCGAGCTGATCTCCCTGTGCTATGCGGCTGCTTCCCACTAGCTATCTATTTTACATTTGGTAGTGTATATATGTCAATGCTACTCTCTCATTTCGTCCCAGCTTACCCTTTCCCCTCCCCGTGTCCTCAAGTCCATTCTCTACATCTGCGTCTTTATTCCCATCCTGCCCCTAGGTTCAGCAGAACCATTTTTTTTTCAGATTCCATGTATATGTGCTAGCATACAGTATTTGCTTTTCTGACTTACTTCACTCTGTATGACAGACTCTGGGTCCATCCACCTCACTACAAATAACTCAATTTCATTTTTAGTCTTTTTTAAAAAGAGGTTTTACAGCTATTTTGCATTTCGTTCAAAAACAGAAAAATGTAAAACTCAAAATTTCTTTCCTTCTTTTATTAAGTTAGCACTTATTTTTTTTCCTTGAGACCACTAATAATTTACATCAAAGTGGTGATTATTTTTGAAATCCAATTGATCTGTTTATCTGGATAATATTTTCTCAAACCAGTATAAATAAGAGAACCAACCTATATGTTGCTGAATACATTTTAGACAGATATATACTGATGATTAAATTTCATTATGCCAGTAAAAAACAATGCATGACGCATACTTGTAATTTTTGATAAATCATGCCTAATCCATACACTTAACATAGTTCATATTTCATATGAGGATGAAACTTACTGTGTGGGGAATAAAAATTACAAAGGCAACAAGAACATCAAACATATTACCAAAGTGATATTTTCTTGTGCAAAGCATCAAAATTAGGACATCATAAAGTGCTAAGTCAAATAACTCAACAGCCAATTTAAGAAAGTAAACCCTAACAGCTATGTTTAAAAGATCTTTGCCTCTAAAAGATATAAACATCACTGTGGCTTTTTACTGTTAAATATGAGATTCACTTATGTAATAAACCTTCTCTACAGGGATTATGTTTAATACTATGCTCATTAACAATACTATTATTGTTGCTTCTTCACATTTTTAACTTCTTTGTATTGCTTTAACATTTACTAAAGTCTAATGTCACAAGGAGCAGTCTTTTTTAAAAAAGGCTCTCATTTGAAAAATGGGGACACTATATGCTTCTCTTTTGGACCTTTCTCTTTTGGATCCATGAAATAAAGCCTGTAAGCATTAAAGTTCTATGAAAGATGCAAAATGAATATGCAAAATTACTGCCTTAATGAATTTTGTTTAAAAAAAGCCATGTCATAATGAATCTCAACCCTCCCAATAATGGTTACTGAGAGTGTGTATTTAAGCTCTCAATTTGGGCTCTCAGATCAGTACTGGTAGAAAATAGTAACAATGCAAAACTGACAGCTACTAGGGATATACTAGCTGACTGTTTAGGCTAAACCAACTTCTTTTCTTTTCTTTCTTTTTTTTAGGCTAAAAATTTCTTTCCATTTGACTGGAATTATGTTAATTCTATGTGGTATATATTTTGGCTTAGAAACTCTTGTAGCTATATATATATATATATAATAAGAAGTGTAAAAATTATGTGGTACAGTTTGTATATTCAATATTTTAAGGTAAACAGTCTATGGGCGTTTATACCTCTGGTGGTAAAAAGGCTGGAAACTTTTTACATACTTTAGGCCTAGGTTTAAGACCCTAGCTGGAGAAGCTCTGGAAATTCCTTGGGCTTGCTTCAAAAAACTATTTTTCTAGCGAAGCATGAAGCAGTTAACTAGAAACAGCTAACTGCACGCATGTTGATTGAACTCAAGAGATTACTTGAACATCAAAACACCAATTTATTACTTAACAATGAAGTTTTTAAACCATATCCAGTTGTCCAAAGGGGCCATTCTATATGGATAGAAAAGTATGTGACCTAACAATGACCATTCCTCTCTGCCGCCTTCTCCTTTATCTAATTAGGTTCCATGCTGGGTCCAGTTTTACCATTCCAACGACTATACTTAAATGACTTACTGACTAGCTTATTCAGCTTATAATTTTCATTTTTAGGTATGTTTTTCCTTTCTGAACTCATTCTGATTGCTAATATCCATTCCCTTTTCAATATCAGTATATATTTTACTTTGGGGCATATGTTTGTAACGATAATCTGAGTATATAATCTAGCAAGTGAAATTAATAGCACAGAGGCAAAGCTGTCCCAGAAAGTCAGGAACTCGTTACTGTGCCAATATTAGATTATGCCCTCCTGATATCACCTATAAAAGGTACCTATAAAAACTGTCAATGTAATACATGCCTGCAGAAAATAGCACTTGCTGAATGATTTATGAAAACTATTCACGTATTAATGGTATGTTATTCTTGAAATTAGCTGAGAATAAAATGTCAAAATATCAAATTTAAAAAAAGGATGTGGTAACAGTTATGTGAAGATAAGACTCATTTCAACTGCTAAATGTTTAAAACACATGCAAAAAAACCCCCCAAAATATCTCTTTACCCTGCTCTATTAGGTACTTTTCTTTTGCTTATTTGATGGTAAATGAAAATAAAAACTACAAAGGAATGTATTTTAAAAAATAAAATGATGGTAAATGAAAATAAAAACTACAAAGGAATGTATTTTAAAAAATAAAATTTCACGAGAAATATTATTTAATCCATGACTTTTTTTAAATTGGAGTTTAGTTGCTTTACAATATTGTGTTATTTTATATTGTACAGCAAAGTGAATCAGCTATACATATACATATCTCCCCTATTTCTTGGATTTCCTTCTCATTTAGGTCACCACAGAGCACTGAGTAGAGTTCCCTATGCTATACAGTAGGTTCTCATTAGTTATCTATTTTATACATATAAATCCATGACTTTTTAAAGAAGTCATTTAGAAAATCTGTAAGTTTCATCACATCGAATAAAATATGAACTAGTACATCAAAAGTAAAACTATTTTAAAATAATGAGAATGAAATGGTAAACTCGTTTACTACATTTGTTTTTAGTGAATGGATTTTACTAACGTTAACATATTCATTTATACAGAAGATTTACAAGTTGTCATACTGACATTTACTAGAAGACAAAGAAGTTTCTTCCCCCCAAGATTGTCTAGACCAGAGCTCTTAACCCACTGTAAATTTTAAAACATCCAAATCTGTACTTAGCTTGAAGGAGGAGTTCAACTCACTCTCTGCACACACACATAATGGTCAATTAAACACACAGGGACTATAAGGCACCTTCCAACAAAAGAAACATTTTTAATTAAAACTACCTGGTTTCTTAGGGTGTGATGCTGGAGTAGGATGCATCTTAGCGTCTCTGGAAAACCCATCTAAGTTTCCTTTTATGGCTTCCAAAGCATCATCTCTACTCTTCTCTCCTGTCTGGGAGACAATAAATGTATATATATTTCTTCACTTGTCTCTCACACATCGTCCTAATCCACATAAGTTGAAAGAAGAGTGCAAATATTCGTCAATTTACAATATTTTTACCACATACTTCGGATAGTGAATTTTCCAAGTCAGAAAAACATTGACATAAAGCAAAGGCGTAAGACAACACTCTAAAGAAGATTATTAAAAGGCCCATTTAGAAATACTTTAGGCTACAGCTGTTAGATATTAAGTATCCAGTATTAATGCTTCCCAAGAAAAGATTACAAGCATTGCAAAGGCAGAAAACAAGAGCTGAGAAGATAATTGCTGCTATCCCATTCCCCTCAACAATAAAGTAACTTTACAGAAAAAGAAAAGTCCTTTGCTTTCAGACTTAGACAAAACCAAAACAAATCAACCACAGCCTCAGCTTGCGCTGGTGCCCACGTAACAAAATCCACTAAATGACTGAGAATAGGCACATTCAGGGGGGTAGGCCGTGTGCCGGAATACGTTACCTTGGGTTTCACACTACTCAGAAGTCTGAGCTTTTGCTTCTGCTCTTCAAACTGGCGTCTTTTTCTTTCTTCTTCTAAGAGCTTTTGCTGCTGTTCAAATCGTTTTCTGAAGGAAAAACAATCTAGTAAAGAGCCAGCTTCAGGGATTATCAACTGTTATATTCATATTTCTTCTACAAAGTCATCTTGCATTTCTAGAACTAAAAACTTCACTGATAATTATATCTAATTTTCTGAAGACAATCCTATTTCACCACTATATTAATTTCCAAATATATGAAGTAAGTCTAGAAAGTGATTTACCTAAATTATAGATGTGAATTTATTTCCTGTCTAATTTGCAAGGGGAGGAGACAACATTTTACATTCAAAGTAATTACAAAAAACAGAGAGGGAGGCAGACGAAATAAAAACACTCTTTGCTCTGCATACAAAAAAGAAACTTCTACTTGAGGAGGCAGTATCATACATGAGAAAGAGTAGTAGTTCTGGGACTCAGGAGGCCCAAACCCGGGTCCAGGTCTTACTGGTAACTGTATAACCCAGCCTTACACTTGCTTATTTCTTTGGACCTCACTTTCCCCAGATGTAAAGTCAGAGGACTCAATTACAGGATCTCTAAGGTCCCTTCTGGCTTTAAACTTTTAAATAATAAGAGTATTTTAAAGAGTTTTAAAGGTACCGTAAAGGCACCGAGCTTCAAATCTGCACTACAGATCACTTGACAATTTTAAAATGGATTGCTATCATGTATCTTTATCCTTGCATCCTGAGATCTCTTACTGCTGCTCCTCAGCAAACTGCTTCTGCATGTCTGGAGTGTACTGTGGGCCTGGAGGACGCATTCCTAGGAATGGTGCTTGTCCCAGGTAAGGCATTCCTCCTGCTGGTATTGGTCCCATTGGTATCCCTGCCTAGAAAAAAACAGACAAAGACTTAAGCTTAAAAAAACACAATTTCTCCTTTTATCCTTTTTCTTTTTCCTTTGGCTGCGCTGCACAGCATGCAGGACCAGTTCCCCAACCAGGGACTGAACCCGTGCCCCCTGCAGTGGAAGCACGGAGTCTTAACCACTGGACCACCAGGGAAGTCCCCACAATTTCTCCTTTTAATTACTACAAAGAAAAACTGTAACTTCCATAAATTTTCTTATTTTTAATTAATGAACTATATAAAGGCATTTTAATAGAATATTTAATATTATTTATTAACAAACTATATAAATGCATTTTAATATAAGATTCAAAGAACACAGGCTAAAAATGAAAAGCTCCCCTTAATATCTTGCCCCTTCCATTTCCTCCATGTCTTCGAGGGGACCACCACTGCTAGAATAGTCTGAGGGTGTGCGTGTAAAATCTTTCAGTCTGTGTGTGTAAGGCTGTGTATGTGTACAACTCACAAGTTATATCTGATGAGTTTACTGATCCATACTCTTTGAGAAGAGGTATCATATCTTACATGTCTCTGTATTTCCAGCAATAGACAAGCACCTGGCATATGGTAGTTATTCCACAAATGAGATTAAACAAATGAGATTAAACACGATTTTCCAATGATAGGATAATGATTATTTTGATATTCATTATCATAGGCTTGGCTATCCAAACTTTTACAGAAAATATCAATAATTTAAAAAATCCATAGTAAATGACATATCAGTACAACAGTATAAAGTTTACTGAAGTGTCCAGAAGTGAGAATGGTATTACACAACAGCTAACCACAAAATCTAGTATGAATAATGATGATGATGAAAATGATGGCAATGGATAATTTTTACTGAGTGAAAATTCCTGTGTTATTCAACCTCCTCCCTGAAAAGTTCTTCAGTTCCCTAACTTGAAACTTGGCTGTCCCTGGAAGCCCTCTCATTTGGAGATTGCTACTTTTCTTCCAACATTTCCTGTAGACAGGCAATATTCCTCCTTGCTTCTCCTTAAACCCTTTTTCTCCTCTTTTCCTTCAAAAACCTGAACACATTTTAATTTCTTGCCATCAGACTTCATCATTTACTACCCAAACTTGTTTATGTCATCTACTGACCCTCAACTCCCTCACTCTTCAACTAAAGGCTTCAGAACCTTGCTAAGGTCCATTCTACTCCTAAACTGCTCTTGGTGATGTCAATAATCATATGGATGACTCATCTAACACTGTGGCCTTTCAGGTCTCCTCATCACAATCATGTCCAACATACCATTCCAGTTTCCCATTCCACGGCCACCTCCCCTGGTCATCCGCCCCAGTAACTGCATCATCTCCAAAATCTTGATTTTAAACATCCCAACACTTGACCACCACCTTCTATCCTTCCAGCTCATGTACTCCAGCAATTCTCTTATTTCATTAATACCTCCCTCCCATCCATTACTCTTACCACTTTCCCACTGTCCATCATCCTCATCATGTCCTCACTTCTCTTCTTGCTCAGCTTAGACTCCAGGATTCAATATTAAATGCCTCTGTAAACATCCTTAGCTCCCTTACCTCTGGCTTCCTTGGTATGGTCTCCTGGGAAACCTCATTCCTGGTTAGTCAACTAATCACCTTCTCTTATCCTTACAACCAAACCATTTAACCTTGCTGGAGAAAAAAACCCTGATGATTCACCTTAAATTCCTGACTACAGATCTCAAATGGATCCCCAATGCAGGAGTCTTATGAGGACTCCTACTGTGTAAGATTTCAACCCTTTGACATTTCTTGAGATTTGCTATGGCCCAGCATATTTCAATTTTAATAAATATCCCATGTTTGCTTAAAACGAAAGTATTTTGCAACTGTTGGGGACAGTGTCCTATTTATCCACTAGTCAAGCTTGTTAAGAAGGTTGTTTAAACCTGTATCTTTACTGATTGTGGATTTGTCTATTTCACCTTGTTTTTCTGTCAGTTTCTGTCTTATACATTTTGAGGCCAGGTTATTAGGTGCATACAAACTGTTAATCTTTCTGGTGAATTTAATCTCTCATCAAAATGAAATATCCTCTTTACCTCCAGGTTTTTGAGGCTTTTTGCCTTAAAGTATATTTTGTTTGATTTTCCTTTAACAGAAATCATGTTACTGTTTCCCTCAAATAAAAAAAGTATTTCTTTTGAACTTATCCAAAATACCTTCTTGTTCTGAACCTTTACTGAGACAGTGGAACATTGTTTTAAGGTCTAGAAGTAATATAATATGTGTAAAGCACCTAGAACACTGTCTAGTACATATAAATAAATAACAGCTACGACAGAAATAATTATCTTTATACATCAGAAATATACTTTATACATTAGAAACAATACTAATGACAGAATAGAACACTTTCAAAAACAGTAATGATTCAATTTTTTTCTGAGACAAAGTAAGATTCCTCAAGCAAATACAGAATTAAGCAACTAGATAAGAAAAAAGAACACAATAGTTATAGGTATCATTTTACTGTGTTCCTGCCATATGTCAGCTATAGAACTAGACATTTACAAACATTATTCTCCATATATGTGTAAGATCATCAGAATTAGGGATATTTCTGATGATGATCAATAAGAAGACCTTAGTAATAACACTTATGAAGCCTGTACTATGTTCCAGGGACTTTTCTAAGTGCTTTACATGTATTAATTAATTTAATCCTTACAACAAATCTGTGCAGTAGGTGCTACTATTATTCTCATTTTACAGATGAGGAAATTGAAGCAGAAAATAGTTAAGTATCTCACTCATTACTGGCAAGTGTCAGAGCCAGGATTAGACCCAGGCAGCTTCCGGTCCCCAAATCCATGTTCTCCATCATTATGCTATGCTCCCTCTCCAGCTACCAACAACCACCATAAAATTCAAACTTAAAAAAAAATTTTTTTTCTGTTTCTATTCATGTGCTCAGACACATACCTGCTCAATAAATACTAGCAGCCTGGAAGGCTTATGAATGGTTTCTAGTACTTTATAACTGGAATTGAAGTAATATTGCTTAATTACTAACATTCCCTATTCTAAATCTTGAGTAGTAATGGCTATGCATACTTATTTTTAATCACACTGTGGTTCTCTTGCTGCTAAAAATTAGTGCCAGAGTCCTAGTATTACATTTCTTTTCTTCCCCCAATCTATAATTTAATCAGTTCCTTATTTTTTCCAGTTTTATTGAGATGTAACTGACATATAACATTGTATGAGTTTAAGGTGTGCAACATGTTGATTTGATACACTTATATACTACTGCAAAACGATTAACACCATAGCATTAGCTAACACCTCTGCCATGTCACATAATTACCATTTCTTCTCTGTGGTAAGGGATTAAATTTTCTTTTTTAAATTTTGACTCAGTTTACTCAAGGCACACAAAACACAAAAGAAACCACCCAAATCATATAGGCTAAAAGAGAAAATGAGACATTCCACAAAAATAATAAAGAATGAAAGGAGGTGTTATTATGCATATTACCTTTCTATTTACACAATTCTGTTCTTCAAGAAGATTCAAACTTGCTAAATGGCATTTTGTGTTTCTCCTTCTCCTGAAAAGTAACTTTATACATTTCATAGAGTCTAATTTTATACATTCTTTTGAGATCCAGATAAACCAAAAGGTTAAGAGACACTAATCCTTAGCTATACAGTGAGTGAATAACACAGCAAAAGAAGTAACTCAGAAATCTGAGATACATCCAATAAACTACTAAGAAGACTAAAAGATAAAGAAGTTCACCCCAAGTTGAAGGATACTGAAGGCTACTGAAGATTTAAGTAAGTGGAGAGGTACGACAGTAAGACTAAAAGTGTAAAAATGTCGATTTCTTTTTTTAAAATTTTTATTTATTTAATATTTTAAAATTATTTAATATATATTTTAAATTTTTATTTATTTATTTAATATTTAATTATTTAATATTTTTAAAAATTTTGGCTGCCTTGGGTCTTTGTTGCTGCGCGCAGGCTTTTTTCTAGTTGCGGTGAGCGGGGGCTACTCTTTGTTGCGGTTCCCGGGCTTCTCACTGGGTGGCTTCTTTTGTTGCAGAGCACGGGCTCTAGGCGCGTGGGCTTCAGTAGTTGTGGCACTCGGGCTCAGCAGTTGTGGCTCGCGGGCTCTAGAGTGCAGGCTCAGTAGTTGTGGCGCATGGGCTTAGTTGCTCCGCAACATGTGGGATCTTACCAGACCAGGGCTCGAACCCGTGTCCCCTACACTGGCAGGCGGATTCTTAACCACTGTGCCACCAGGGAAGTCCCCAAAATGTCAATTTCAATCAAAATCACGACAGGTTTTATATGGAATTTGACAAGCTTATCTCAAAATTTATACTGAAGGGGATGTGACCATGAATAGCTATAATTCTTTAAAAGAAAAAGGAGGATCCACACTACAAGATATCAAGGCTTACCTTGGGCTAGAACAATTAAGACAGTAAGATGTTTATTGATGTAGAGATAGACAGGTATAGTAATGGGACAAACAGAAGAGCTCAAAAACTAATCCAAAGCCTATAAAGAAATTTGATATTACAGGAGTAATCTTAGAAATCAACAGGTAAAGAATGGGCTGCTGGGCTTTCCTCACACAAGAGAAGCCACCACAGTGAATAAATAAATTAAAAAAAACAACAACAATGGGCTGATGAGAGGAATTCCCTGACAGTCCAGTGGTTAGGACTCCACGCTTCCACTGCAGGGAGCATGGGTTCGATCCCTTGTCGGGGAACTAAGATCCCACATGCTGCACAAAAAAGAACGGGCTATTGATAAATGGTTTGGGGGACAACTGTCTACTCAAATGGAAAATAATAAAATTAGACCCTTCAGCCTCACACTGATACCAAAGAACAATTCCAGGTAGGTTAAGGACCTATATATGAAAAGAAACTTTAAATTTTTTAATAAGAAAATACAGGAGAATATCATTATTACCTCAGGGTAGGATTATGTCTTA